CACTGATGCCTGACAAGGCCACCCTCAACTACCTATACAGGTGGAGACATGAGTCCCTCCCTTTGTGTTCTTGGGCTGGAGGTTTTAAAATGGCTACTCCAGCTTGTTTCTTAGGACCATTTGCTTGAAAAATTGTTTTCCAGCCTTTTACTCTAAGTTAGCGTCTGTCTTTGTCACTGAGGTAGGTTTCCTGTATGCAGCAAAATGCTGGGTCCTGTTTATGTATCCAGTCCATTATTCTATGTCTTTTTATTGGGGAATTAAATCCATTGATGTTAAGAGATATTAAGGAACAGTGATTGTTGCTTCCTGTTATTTTTGTTATTAGAGGTGGAATTATCTTTGTGTGGCTATCTTCTTTTGGATTTGTTGGAAGAGGATTACTTTCTTGCTCTGTCTAGGGTATAATTTCCCTCCTTGTATTAGTGCTTTCCTGCTAATATCCTTTGTAGTGCTGGGCCTCACTACAAATGGTGCAGCTGCAGCCAGGCCTAGGCACCACACGCCAACACTGCCTCTCTCAGTGTGCCAGGAGTAGATGACGTGTGTGTGTGTGTGTGTGTGTGTGTGTGTGTGTGTATGTGTGTGTGTGTGTGTGTATGTGTGTGTTTGTGTGTGTGTATGTGTGTGTATGTGTGTGTATGTGTGTGTGTATGTGTGTGTTTGTGTGTGTGTGCAGGAAATGGAACAAAGGAAGGAGAAATGCTTCTCTCTCCAAAGGAATTGCACGTGTTTTGCTTGAGAAGACACTACAGAAACAGATTAACCCTGAGTTGTTGGCGTTTGCTTGCAATCCCAGAATTCCCAGGGAGTGGGAAGCAGGAGGGTCTGATGCAGGCAGCTCCTCGGCTGAGGCTCCTCTCCCTTGACACTAAGTGCCCAGCACATAGTTTGGAGTTTCTCACGTGTCTCTGTTATCCTTTTGGGTACGGTTCAGCAAGTGTTTGTATACAGCTGCCTGACAAGATTTCAGAGTGCATCTTCATAAGACACCCTTCCCTTCCAGTGGCTTTCATGACCTCATTGTCATTGTCTGCATAATCTCAGCACTTGGCAGGGGAAGGTCCCAGGGTTCTAAGCCAGCTTAGGTGATAAAATAGTGAGACTGAGTCTAAAAGTGGTGGGAGTGGGGGAATAAAGGAAGAAATAAAAACATAGAAAGAGCTAGAGGTGTAACTTAGTGTGCTTTCCTGGAACATAGTCCCCTGGGTTGGATCCCCAGCGCTACATAAAGTAGGCCTGTAATCCCAGCAGAGATAGGATAATCAGAAATTCAAAGTCATCCTCAACTACATAGTGAAATCAAGGACAGACAGGCTACATGAGACCATCTCAAAAGAGATAACTAGAGGGAGAGAGGAAAGGGGGGAGGAGGAGGGAAAGGGATAGGAGGAGGGGGAGAGGGAGAGAGAATATATAGCTAACTGTAGAAGGCCTTTTGCATCCTATTAATGTCCCTGCATTCCCAGAGATCACCACCCTCCTGAGCTGGAGTACACATGTCCCTAATATATTTTGAGAGTCCATCTTGTGGTTCAGAAGGTCCCAGTCCTTGCTCCTGAAGGGGATTAGCCCGAGTACAGTTCACACAGCCATGCTCGAGGCCAATGTCATTTGAAGGTAGGGTGAGATGGATAAGCGGAGAGAACAGAGGACTCAGAAAGTCTCACTCTGAAAAAGAGGGTTCAGCAGCAACAAGAGTGTAGCTGAGGATTGGGGATCAAAATCATATTGGACCTGTCAGAATAACCAGAGTTTGCATAGGTCCTGGCAGCCCCCACTGGCTAGGCTCAGCCATTATATCTGCCAATTAAAGAGACTAGCACTGGTAAAAATCGGAGGGGATTTTTATTCATGTACCCTGTGGCATGATTAACAGATAAAGGGTGACCCCAAGTTCACTTTGAAGTACTGACAGGGACAGGGCAGGGTCTGTACTGTTAAGCCATCCTGGAAGTTAATGGTCTTAGTTCTGGTTCTTTAAGCTGCCCTAAGAAGTTTAGATTGCTTGAGAGAGCAAATAGGATCCCATAAGATGATTACCCCTCCTTCAGGGTGTGGGGATAATAGCCTGCAATTGGGGTTTATCTGTCCTTCACGGCTCTGCTGTTCCTGTAATCTAAAATGACTGCAAGTTTAGGACAAGTGGAGGTGTCTTTGGGGGTTTGAAGCAGTCATTACAAAGGCTAAGTTAAGGTGCCTCAATTATCCTTATAAGGGGCTTTTAGCCTTAGAAAGGATAAGTCAGGTTCCTTACCACTAACTTTAATATACATACTCCTTAAGTAGTGAACATTCGTACATGGGTAAGCAGGCGATTCAAATAAAAGTGACAGACATGCCACGTGAAGGCAGAGACTGGCTCAAGTCATCCCATGCTTAGCTTCCTTCTCTCCCTGTGCTGTTTCTTCTTTTTTCCTTTTAAGGTAGGCCTTGTGAACCCCAGGGTGGCCTCTAATTCTGTGCCACAACACTTGGTTTTTATGTGGTCTTGGGCACAAACTCAGTGCTTCACACGTTAGAGAAGCTCGCTACCAACTGAGCTATAAACCACTGATGTTGAGCTACCGTGAAAGCCCACATGGAGACTCAATGTTTTAGTTTTGGTTTTGGGTTTTTTTGGGGGCGGGGGGTTGGCGAAATCAGTTTCGATAGCAGAAGGATATGCTCTGAGACAGAAAGCCACCCTACATAAGGGGTGTGTGTGTGTGTGCGCGCATAAGTCAGAGGATAATTTGCAGAAGTCGGTTCTGTCCTACCATCTTGTAGGTCCCAGGGATCAAGGTCAGACCACCAGGCTTAGCAACAAGCGCCTTCACCCATGGAGCCATTTCTCTGGTCCCTACTCAGGCTTTTGCTTTCCTAAGCATTAGAAAAGACAACGCTAGGTATCCCTGTCCTTACTAGGAATGCCAGCTGGGATGACCTAGCTGAGCCTGACCACGGTAGGGCCAGCCGGCCAGACCTGTTTCTAATCTTAGGATCTGAGTCTGAGGCACCACCATGGGGGGAAAAATGGATCTGTTCTAGTCCTCTCAAGTCTTCAGACAGCTCCAACACAGACTATTCAGCCTTCCCGTTTTAACCTTAGTTTAGAGTTGCCAGGTTAGAGACTGCCCCACTTATTACTAAAAAAAAATCAAAGAATATTTTTAAAAACAAACAAACAAACAAACAAACAAACAAATAAAAGAACATTTTATGGGTAACTGAAGAGATATCACACTGGTTAGGAGCATTGGCTGCTCTTTCAGAAGACCCTGGGTTCAATTCGTAAGCCCCACATAGTGGATCACAACCATCAGTAACTCCTGTTCCAAGAAATCTGGCACCCTCTTCTGACCTCCACTGGTACTGCAGGTACACGGTGAACAGACAGAAATGCATGCAAAACACCCAAAGACATAAACATAAAAATTTTAAATCTTAAAAAAAAAAAAAGAGCATGTCTTATTATGCCAGACATGGCAGAAAGCACCTATTATGCCAGTATTTGGGAGACAGAAGCAGGGGGATGCCACAAGTGTGAAGCCAGCTTGTTCTACAGTATTAGTTCTAATCTCAAAAAGAGGGAGTGCTGTAGAGATGGCTGCACAGATATGAGCCTCTGAGTTCAAATCTCCAGCATCTATGTAAGAAGTTGTGCCCACCTCATCTGTAATCCGAGGAAGCACAGATAGGTGGATAGCTTCAGAGAACTCACTAGCCAGATAGCCTTGTGACCCTGGGTCAACAGTGTGGATCAAGAAGGAAAAGGACACACATACACACAACTAAAATACAAATGTAACTATATATCTATCCTGTATATTTACTACTAATTCCCAGAACACCACCTCAGTTGAATTTTGGAAGGGTACTTTAAATGTGTTTGTAAACTATGAGCTCAAGGCTTTTCAGAAGTAACAGTTAAAAATCACAATCTTTGGTCAGCTCTCACAGCCCAAGAGTGGCTGACAATAACGGCTAACAAACAGGCTTATTGAATCAAGAGACACTTTAGAGATCTCTTCATAACTTGACCCAAGTAGGTTTTTTTTTTTTTTTTTTTTTTAGCCTATTCACAGGATGGTGCAACCGTCACCAAAATCAACTCAGAACATTTTCATGCAAAAAGAAACCAGAATTCCTCTCCTTCCCTGACATTCCTCAGTCCTAGCATTTGGCAACAACTAACGGACTAGTCTTTTTAGTTGTGCCAATTTTGGACATTTCCTTATAAACTGGATCGTACAAACATGTGGCCTTTGGTGTCTGGCGCCTAACATTTTATTCAAAGCTTATTCATATGATAGACTGTGCCCGTTTCTGTCCTTTATTTTTTATTTGTTTGTTCGTTCTGTATAACCACCCTAACTGTCCTGGAATGCACTCTGTAGACCAGGCTGCCTCTGCCTCCTGAGTGCTGGGATGAAAAGTACTGAATCTTGTAGATACGAGATAACATTTGTGTACACGCTTTTGTGTGATTGTGTGGCTTCTTTTCTTTTGGCTGTATATCTAGAAGTGGTTATATGGTAACTAATTTTTGTGTTTAATGTTCTGAAGAAGTACCCAATTGTTTCCCAAAGCAGCTGCCCCACTTTACCGTGGGCCGTCACAGGGGAGAAGGCAAACCATTTGCCCTAGCTTTCCAGAAGAGGGCCTTCTAGCTCTCCACCTCCAGCTCGGCCTCCGCAGAGCCTCGAACAGTCTCCCTTCTCTGCAAGATCCGGGCCCTTCGCAAGCATAACACTATTACAACAAAATGTTGTAGAAAATAGTTCCGTCTTGATTAAAGCCCGCCTCCTGGGCGCTGCTAGGCCACAGGAAAACAGCGGAGGCTACCTGGACGTCGTAGTTCCCTTTCCAGTCGGTCACGCAGAGACTCTGCAAGGAAAAACTACAATTCCCAAAATGCCACTGTGCTATGGCGGCCGAAGGGGCCAATCGGCCTGCAGAGCCCCGCCCCCCCTCGGGTTGGGCCGCTTGCCAGTGCGTCTGTAAACACGCCCGGAGCCTGTCATGGTGCGGGAGGAGGAGGCGGTGGCCGAGCGGGGAGGTGCCTGGGGCAGCCTCCAGGGTCCGCTCTGCCATTCCTGAACTGGTCCGGGTCCCCGTGACCGTGGCTTCAGGGAAGCGAACTGTTAGGCGAAGGAGGAGGCAGTCAGAGCCATATCCCCTTCTTCCCCGGGGCGGGGGCCGGGCCTGGCCCGCTGAGGACGGGGAGGGCCGGGAGGGCGTCGGGCCGGGCCGGCCTGTCTGCCGAGATGGATGACAGCAAGGTAAGTCCTGGGCTGGCCGCCGCAGCCGCCTGCTTGTCGCCGCACGTAGTCTCGCCGCCCAGTTCAGAAGTCCACGCGAGCACTCACGAAACACCTGCCATAGATACTAGTGTGCCTCAGGTCCCCTGGCACCCCGCCAGGACATTGGGGAAGCATCGGGCTGCAGTTTTCTAGCAAGGGCCCTCGCCCTTGCAAAATTTTCACACCCGCGTAACCGAGTTTGCTGGGGATTCCAAGGAGTGCAAGCCCTAGTATCTGATTTGCCAGTCGAAATAAGTGAAGAAACTACGCTGCTTTTTTTTCTCTCTCCTTTTTTTTTTTTTTTTTTTTGCCCTGTTTTTCCCCCTCCCAGCGTTTTCCATTTAAGAGAAATTAATTCATGCGTCCTGAACTAGGCATAATCACCCTTGATGGTTTTCCCTTCCTCCCTCAGCCTCACTCAATGCCCCATTCATCTCATCAGTTCACTCCCCCAACCCTGAGCTATTTTCCTGGGGTTGGTTGAAATAGTGCTTAGCTCCTGTTGCTATCAGGCCAGAGCCTGTAATCTAACCTCTAGAAACCTTTTAGAAAAACAGTAGTTTTCTCAGTTTTTAATCCAACTCTGTGTCCTATATCCAACCTTTAATCTATTCCCCCTTTAATCTCTAGCGCACTTACTTTTCGTTATTTTGTCTTTTTTCTTGTTGTTATTTTTTTTTTCATAGCTGAGGACCGAACCCAGGGCCTTAACGCTTGCTAGGCAAGCGCTCTACCACTGAGCTAAATCTCCAACCCCGCGCAATTACTTTTATGACTATAAAATAGTGCTCACTATGGGGAAGATTTGTGGTTCCATCTTCTCATGTTCCTCGTGCTTCACATTTCATGAAGATAGGAGTGGTCAGAGAGATTATTAATGTCTTATGATGAGTGGAAATTGGGCCTTTAATTTTTAAGGAATCAGACACTTAAATTTGCCTCGTTGTGGACCCAGATATTGTGTGTAGCCCAAGCTCGCCTCAAACTCTCAGTACCAGAAAATGATCTTCAACTGTTTTCCTGCCTCTTCCACCTGCCAAGGGCTAGGATGTCCAGTGGGAACCTCATGCTTACATACATTTTGCCATTATTTAAATTAAGCCATTCCTTCACTAAGCTTTTCAAAGTCTAATTTTTCATAATCTGCTATATTCCTTGGAAGAGCTTTTTCCTTTAGGTACCCTCCCCCTTTTTTCTTCTCCTAACAACATTTTGTTGCTCTTAAATTTTTTGTTTCACATATCCTCAGACAGATAGGGGGAAAATCCAGTTTATCTTCGCTGGTTGTTTTATTCTTTATTAATGCTTCTCATTTATGTGGGAGGCTCCAAGAAGTGGTAGAAAGGAGAATCCAGCATTGTAATCTGCCTCCTGGACACACCTAGGAGAACCAACTGCTTATGAAATAACAAACTCCTCCTGACAGGAAGTGGTATTTTCAAAATAGAAAGGGAGAGTTCTGAAAGTTTTCCAGGAAATATTTTTCCAGTCTTTACTACCTTGATCTTTCAGTGTTGATTCTGAAATGAAGTCTGCAAACTATATCCATTATCTCCCCAGCATCTCAAGGATGCTGAAAGAATGTAGCAGTCTTCTTTCTTACCTGGAGACTTTCACATACTTTTTCAGTTGTATAATGTATAATTTTCAGTCATATTCTTTTTCAGACCTTTGGTGTATTTAACAGCTTTCTTAAGGTCTCTAGTAGTGCCAAACAAAAGAGCATAGGATTTTGAAATACTTTACTTACCAAAAGATCACATGCAGTCTTTTGGTTTGTTTGTTTTTGAGGGGTGTTTGTCTTCAGAAAGTCTCTTGTAGCTTAGGTAGACTTCCAAATTTTCAGTGAAGCCAAGAATGACCTTAAATTTCTGATCCTCTTCCCTCCACCTCTCCAGCGCTGGGATTGCAGGCTTGTGCTACCATACTTGGTTATATGTGGTCATAGGGATTGAACCTAGATAGGACTTTGTGAATGCCAGACAAGCACTCTACCAACAGTTATATGCCCATAGAGGTTATTTCTGAAACTAGCATGTGATAGTTAGGTTAGGGGTATTATAGAATTTTATTTAGTAGTTGTCTTAGTTAGAGTTTTACTGCTGTGAACAGACACTATGACCAAGGCAAGTCTTATAAAGGATAATATTTGATTGGGGCTGGCTTACAGGTTCAGAGGTTCAGTCCATTATCATCAAGGCAGGAACATGGCAGCATCCAGGTAGGCATGCATGGTACAGGAGGAGCTGAGAGCTCTACATCTTCATCTGAAGGCTGCTAGTCAAATGCTGTCTCCCAGGCAGCTAGGACAAGGCTACTGAAGGCCAAATCCACAAGGCCACACCTATTCTGACAAGGCCACACATCCCAATGGTGCCACTCCCTGGGCCAAGCATATACAAACTATCACAGTAGTGTACCTTAAGATGCTAGCTAGTAGTGATTGTTTGAAACAATGACATTGAGATTGCCTAGAGGTACTGAGGCTAAGTTAAGTCATACGCTCCAGGTGTGCGCACCAGCCAGCCCAGACAGACTGTCACAGCTGGGAAACAATAGAGCATATGGTAGAATTTGGGTGCTAGATTGAACACCTAGAAAGGAGGGCTTTGGAAAGTGCCTAAGCAGTGAAATTTCCTAGATTTTTCCTAGATCTTGAGATTAGTAAAGAAGGAAAAACTCCCACGTTGCCTAAGCTCTCTGAACTTCTGCCTGGTCTTTTAAGTGAGGTCAGCCCCGTCCCTGGAGGCTTGCTTAGGCAGACTTGGATATGACACACCTAAGAGTGTTTAGTACTTCGTCTCACACACAGTCATTACTCAGCAAACATGACCTTATTGCCTTACCAAAGAAAGACGTCTGTGGGTTCTGATATCCTTGTTTTAGTCATTGCTAAGTGACATTTGTAGCCATGGTTATACTTACACTAGATAGTGCCCCAGCTATACACCAGATGGGACAAGAGGGGCATAATTGGATATAAAATGAACTTCAGCTTGTCCTTACCTGTCGCGTTAACAAAGGTCACTTTCCAAGGCCTCCAAATCTTCCATCAGGAAGAAGTGGTATTTTGAAAGCCTTTCTTTTGACCTGCAGTCTTGAAAAGAAATAGAGATATATTATTTTCAATCACAGAAGGCTATTGTTTTCATTTTTGACTTTTGTGTTTTTTGAACAAATAAATTGAAATGTTCTAATCAGATGTGTTCTTGCCAGTCTGAAAGCTGGCTAAAGACCTCTACAGAGTATTACCCAGCCTGTCAGTATAGGACACCCTGAAGGAGTTGGTCAGCTACTGGCCACAATGCTAATATGGGTCTGTTTCCTTCTTCCTGTCCACTCTGTGGTGCACACTATCCTGTAGACGTGAGGTTTCTCACTCTCTGCTCACCTCTTTTGTACCCACCAAGGATCTCCATCCTTATAGTAGTTCAGAACAGGTGCTGGTAAAAAGATTTAATTTGAAAACAAAACCCTAACGTTCAGACCCTGAAATTCTCTCCACTGCCCCTTAGCCACCTTCTGCCACATTGGACCCCCCCACACACAGGAGTCTCACAGACGCCAGCAATCTGCTCCTGTTCCTAGCCGCCTCCTCCTCCATCACTTTCACCAACACCAAGATGGAAGAGCTAGCGCATCTGCACAAGTGTCTGACAGTACATGTTAATGTGCCTACTTTCTTGTCCACAAACTTGTACAGAAAATTTGTCCATGAACTTGGGTACTTCACAGTTGATTTGGAAACCAGAGTCGGGCATGGTGGCACATGCCTGAAACCCCAGCACTTGGGGTATAGGCAAGAATACCAGGAGATCAGGGACACCCTCAGCTATAGCTGGAAGTCAAGGCTAGCCATATAAGTAAGATCCTGTTTCACTCTTCCTTTCCCCCTCCTCCCCCTAGCCCCACTACCCCGCAAAAGAAACCTAGGTGAAATCTTATTTAAGATGTCTTGCTTTATAAGGGCTTTGGAAACACTTCCTTGTTTGTTCATTAATTTATCAAGTGCTTGTTACCTAATATGTGCCTGTGGTAAGCGGCAGAGATGGACATGAGTGCGAACTTGTAGCTTTTTTAAAGGAACTTTGATTGCTGTGGGTGAGGCAGACAACTAGAAAAGTAACTAGAGCAGAGATGAGGAATGAGGGTGTGGTCAGGCATGATGGCGCACACCTGTGAGCTCACGGCCAGGCAGTCCATGCATGGTGACACAAGCCTTCAGTCCCAGGCAGAAGCACGTGGATCTAGGTAGCAAGTTCCAGGCCAGTCATGGCTATATCCTGAGACCCTCTGTCAAATCAAATAAAGAAATTCAAGGCTACTGCCGCTTTGAGGCTAGCCTGGGAACATGTGAAACCCTCCTCAAATAGAAAACAAAAACAAAACAAAAAGCCCACGCCTACCAAGCAGTTTCCCCAGAGTGATAGGGCAGAAGCCAAACCATGTCCAACCGTGGAAGAAATAGATGGCAGAGAAGCACACGCTGTCAGTATAGACTGTGGAACCGAGTTAGGCATTGCTAAGGTCCACACTGTGTTATCTGTACAGTACTACTTAGCTCCAGGGTCAAACAGAATAGCTGTATGTGGCCCCAGGGTAGACCTTGATGGAAAGGGGAATTTGGGTGTTATTGCTGGGTTTTACAGATGCCTGCCTGCATTTTTCTTCTTTATCCTGACAGGAGAGACTAGCAGAAAGGTTAGCAGCAGGAAGACGTGGTTACTCTCTCTTGCTTTCTGAAACTCTGGTTTAAAAAAAAAAAAAGTCCTGAGCCACACAGTAGGGAAGTCCCTGAGCCTCATAGAGACACTCTCCTGCCATTTCTTTTCTTTAAGGTGGGGAAGGGCAGTGGCTAGGACACAGCTGTACTATACCCAGCAGACAGTGTGCCACTTTGCTTTTTGCTTTGCTTTGCTTTGCAGCCCCACTTCATAAAAGTGGTGTACAATAACTGGATTTTTAATGAGTTGTCTTAA